GAGTTATGCTGGCTATCAGCCATGTTGCTGATAAAGAGTTTCAAATTCTGTTCACAGCTTAATCTGGATCGGTTGCACAATTTACGACAGACGACAGATTACAACTGAAGTTCTTTAGTAAGGAAATAAATTCCATTTTTCTTGACATTCCACAAATCTCATTTCATTTGCGACACTCTCCCTTTTTTTCTGTTCATGTTAATTTGATTTATTGTCATTTAAAAAACAACTGGTCAAAGAAAATTGAAACGGAAAATCACGTTTCTGTTGGAATTATCTTATGGACTTACTATTTAATAGGAAGAAAAGAAACTGACCCCTTCCTGTTTTGCCAATAACACCAATGGACAACGATTCGTCGATGAAGATGCGTACTTTATATTTCCATTTCAGAGCTATAAGTTCAGGCAACAGGCACAGATCACCGCTATTCATGTATAGTCCTTCACCACTATAAATCGTCTTGTTTTTGATGCTAGCTTTGGAAACTGTAAAAAAAAGTGGAAGTCTTTTGGAAGTGAAATGAAAAAAAAAAAAAACAGTGACATTGGAAATAAGTGTTATAGTAATGTAAAAAAAAAAAGAAAACAAGTTCTGTACAGTTTTGTACATTAATTTTAGTATTTTAAACTAAATTACAAACTTTACGGTCCCGTTCAGCCTGTTCCATTAATAACCTCTCTAGATCGTTGATATCATTATGACTGAACCATTCGATACGACTTCTAGATGCTTTGAGTCCCTCCTGTATTGCAAAATTCACTCCTAAATGTTAAAATAATAAAATCAATTCGTTCATTATAATTTAAAATCCAATTCCAGTGCAAACCACAAAAGAAATTCATAAACGTCAATTTCTTGAAAGTAACAATGAGCACATATTACAAAATGGCGCAACTGTAACAAATTAATGATGTGCATTCGTTCTTGAAAACTTTATCGATGCAAACCATCCCGGTTTAACTACCCACTAATCAAATTATCCGTAGTTTGGAATGTTTGCTTTGAATCTGGCTTGATTTACTTCAAAAAGTTCCAACATATACTTTTAAACATTTAAGTAAATAAACTGCGTGTAAAGTCATTCGAAACTTATATGAATTTAATTTTAATTTTAGATTATTACTCACAGATAAGTTTGACTATATTAACAAATACGGAGAATGGCTAAAAGGAATATTAGTACAAAAGAAAACCTTTGTCTGCAAAAATGACGTCGCTTTTCTTTGCATATGATGGTATAACACTGGAAATAGTTACAAAACCATAGCTGTAAAGGACCGCTTCCTCACATCCCAAGAAATCGGCAATTTGTTTCTCCAGTGCAAGATGTATATCTACTGTACCGTAAAAATGACGTGGCCCGCATGAACCAACGCCATATTTCGAAATCGCTTCTTTTGCCTCTTTCTCCAAAATAATGAGGTATTTAAGCTCTCCGAATTCATCAATCATTTCCAAGCTCAGAATTGCAGGAAGTATAGTAGTAATAATGCGTTTAATTTTTTTTACAAAGTTGAAATTATCAGTTACCTCAACCGTTTTGTCACCGATCAATCCCAAAAAATTCGTTGTCGCTAAATTCAAATAGTCCTTACCATCGTAAGTGACAAATTTACTCACTTTCCTGCAAGTAATCTTGTATGATAGTACGCATAATAGATATATTCCAACTATAATTAGCGTGGAGTAAGAAAAAAATCTTGAAATTTAATGATAACATTGATACAATTATAAGTGCTTATTTTATCTATATATTTGATCGAAAAAATGCCCAACCCATCAAAGTAATGTGTTTGCAGAGCTGAATGTTCGGTAGGAATTTCCGGTACCAACGGCTCCGGTTTCCATTCTGCGATTATTCGCTCTTTTTGCTATAATATTCTAACTATATATTAAGGAAACATCAAGAAACGTAGAGCATTCAACATTTAATATGTAATAATTTTTTTTCTTTTTAAAAATATAAAAAAGGTTGCCTGTTTAGTTAGCCATGTATGCTTCCGCTTTCGAAACTTCAAAACGATTATACCATAAATGACTACAGATAGTATTATACTTTCGGTGACTAACTGTTTATAACTCTGTAATGAAGAAAAAATACTTCAGTCATTATTTGATTAATTTCGAAATTAAGAATAAATGAGATTAATGATTACTACTACGGTGATTTCCCTTTTCATTAAGATGCATCAAAGACTTAATCTAGCGAACTTAAGTTTCACACATTTACGATCTAAAGAATGGATAAATATGTGTTGGGCTGTTTTCCCCGTAACATGCGAATTACATTGTCCTTGGTTTATTTCGTTGTTTTAAGCAACATATGCTAAATTCCTGAATCAAATTACATATAACGCACTGACACTTACAATGAAAACAAAAGAATATGTGCACTGGCGAAATAAACACAAGTGAAAACTAATTCAATTAACCTCCCACTTTATTTACCTAATGATTCCCTTAGTAATAGAAAAGATGGGAATTGACCGACTGAAATTAACAACAAGAAACTTACAGAGGTTGAGATATGACTACTAAGACGATTACTGAATTGGTGGTTATAGTCTTCTTCATGATATGTCGACATTTTTTTGGTACGTTCTAACCTGGAAACCCATTAAAACAGCAATCAATTATCCTTTCTATCAATGATAATATTCGCCTGTTCCGATCAAATCAAATATAGATAACTGGTTCCTTGTTTCCACCAAAGTCACGCATCAGTACAAACATCAACTTTTACCCAAACGTATCTTTATCCTCAAGACGAAATCCAGGAAATTATAATTATGTCCCATCCACTATATAAATTCAATGCACCTAGAGTAAATGCAGTAATGTATGTTACGAACAAATTTACTTCACACCGAAAAAACTTGAATATATGAGGAATAAAACCTCAGAAATTTTATTGATAATATTTGTAAAACAGACATGTGAAATCAAATATAACACTAAACATCTAGCAACAAACTTTGAAATAAAATTTTTTTTTTCCTTTTGTACATACTTCCTACACTAAACTGACATCGTATCGATAAACAACGGTGACGTTCGCCGTTTTTCACTGATGTAAGAGCGAGTAAAGAGATATTTTAGTTAATCATAAATTCGCGAACAACCGAACCAATGGATTTGTGTAAAGGGATCGCATTGCTAACTGAAAAAGAAAGTGCAGAAAAAACTATTAAGACATGATTTTCAAGAGCAGATAATTTCGCAAAGATTGATGAATGAATAAATGTAAAACGACTGACCTTTTATAGCTTCATATATATATATGTATATGTATATATAATAATTTGAAAGTTCAGCATACCTATTGGCCATCTTTTGTGTACCAGTGGAAGTTAATAAATCAATATATTCGCTTTCCTCAATACCACATATTTCGGCAATCAAGCGAAAGGAATTTAGTGATGAAATCAAAAATGTGCTGTTTTGAAATGTACTATTTGCCATTACCAACAATTTTCCGACATGCAATAAACTGAAAAAACGAAATCTAATCGAAAAAGGAAAGTTAAGACAATATCCCAAGCCTTTTGATCGTTCGAAGCCAGATGCATCTTTTTGCAATATCATAACTATAAGCATCGAAAGTGACTTTTGAATACCACCAAAAGCTATTCTGACAAGACAACTTATACCTGGAATCGGTAAGCAATGGTTGCAAGCAGTTGTAACATTTTACTATCCCATCCAAATTCTTCTTAAGAGCATCATAAATATCTGCATTCAGTGCCAGCAGTAGTAAATTCGACTGCAACTAAAAAGCGACCAAAGAGACCATAAAAACCAAACATTTCCTTAATTTCACTTCAACTTCGTTATTCTATTTATGATATTAGTTATTACATTACATTAGTAATTTAGTATAAGTAACCGATAAGTAGTTGTGGTAAAAAAAAATGAATGGTTATAAGTTCTACCTTAAAAAAAAGAATATTGCTGCCAACTCCACATGTTCAACATCTTTTAAAAAAACAGTGTCTATATCCATCCTATGAAAAACATACCAGATGCCCGGTTTGTATATGTTGAAGGCAGTGTGAGGCTGCTTGCTCGCAAAGTTTTCGAAGCCTGCAACTACGAACTGCCCTGCATATTAGCATTGCTGCTATGTAGCGTTTTGCACAAACACTCAAACTGTAATGCATCTCTGATTTCAACATATCCTAGAAGTAAGAATTTAACTTCAGATATCTTTTAAAATTTCCAAAATCAAGAATCATATAAACTGGTTAAATAGATTGCACTATGTGAAAAGTATGGAATTTATCAAGGAAAAAATGACCAGAAAAATTCAACTGTAAAAGTATAGCACCACTTATTCAGTCGTTAATTTCAGGATTTTATCATGGTATAAAGAAGTTGTGATCAAAAATAGAATCTTTATAAATAAGATCCTGTTTTCTCAGCAGTAAGAAAATCCTGTTTGGTCAAGAATCGCTTCTCTCATCCAACATTATTGAATCCCCAACTTTACGAGAAAAAAAAAGACGAAAACACGGAAAGTTTCTAGTACCACGGTAAATATAGCCGACAATACTAATGGAAAATCAAAGATCGAGTAAAGATTAATAGCTAAAAAACGCAATGTTTTGAAAATAGCAAAGTACCTTTGAGATTTTTTTCAAATATTTATTAAGTTTCAGAGCATTCAACTTATTTAATTCTTTTGAGACTCGACGAGTGAACCTCCAAAATTTGGCATGCCTGAAAATGATTATTATCAGTTTTATGGTGTGATGTGTGGAAGACTTGATAATTCCTGCACTATTGAGCAGGCATTTTTTGATTTAAATGAAAAATGAACAAATTAAATTCCACTTTTAATGTGTTGTTCACTTATATAATGACCAAAAATTTGATAACCTGTACGGAGCACTCATTTTATAGATCAATGCATCAAGTATTGCAACGGACTGCGGAGCAACGGAACTAGGGTAAAGACCAATCAGTTTATCAATTATCGCCTGAAGCAAATAGTTTTGAAATACAAAAATATTTCTGATGCAGTGATAAAGAGTTCCCGAACCACCACTAATTTTCTAAAATTAAAAATTCCGAATCTCACTCACTTGAACGTGTTACTTAATTTCTTAAAAAATATTATCGAGTAGATGTTTTGCTTAAACTGAAAAATACAAGAAGATTATTTATTGGCAACAGAAGAGTCCTAAATGACTGATGAAACGATGAATCTGAGCTGAAAACCGAACATCGAACTTACTTTTTCATTGATAATCGTAGCGTCGAACTTCTTGCTATCTGATTCGAAAGGATTGTGGACTGGTTCCGAGCAATATTTGTCCACCATTGCAAGCAATGCCTCATCTTCCAAGCTTTGAAATAACTCCATCCTGGAAGGAAGAACAATCACGCTACAGATTTTGTTAGTACTACGAATGGCATATAAAGTTCTTGAAGTTCCGTTTATTGCACATACTTCAATCATTTCCAATTTAATCTTGGCAAACCAATCTAAAAATTATCGATCTGACTACCAGCATTGCAGCGTATGCATTCCTAAATTACTTTTTACACAAAGTTACAATCATATTACCAGCATTACTGTTTACGCTGCAAAATGCCAACATTGCAGCATGTACATGTAAGAGTAAGCGTGCAACACATAATGCGTACAGCATGTAATACAATACATTCGACAACCGTCACATATATTAATTTGGCACGTAAACAGCAAATAAAACAACAAAAACAAAGATTTGTAAACAGCAAACATCTGAATATTTATTCGTTCAAACTTTTGAAAATAACTTAATTGCACAGCCATTTCGCAATTAAGAATAAAACCAAAAAAGTGAGTTTTCATTGGATTGAATTTCAAAAACTCAGAAACGCCAATTCTCATCATAAGAGTTGTGCTTCGTGATTCAGAATGAGTTACCCCAAAAGTCCTGATGTTTCTTGTAAGAAAGATAGAACCACACAACCATCATCTCCAACTTAATATCTCATGCTTATTTTGGGTCCAAGTGAAAATTCAAAATCCCATTCATTATAATATTTGAACTGTTGGTTTTTCCAGACCGTTAAGTTGATGATGGACTTCGGGTTGCTGGCAGTGGTCACTAATCTTATTGGTTAGCAGTTAAGGGATTATGAAAATGAGCAAATGCGAAAGTTACAAAGTTCATTGATGTTCTCTGACGACGTTACTGTAGAATGATCCATTCTTTAGCTACACTTCAAGGCTTAATTTTACATTTGTTATACCCGGATTTATTATTTTACACTCCATCTTCCCTTCATCACAGTGATTTTAATACTTCGTAACCGAGACTTTTCGTCATTTCTCTGGATCCATAAGAATTTGATAAAATTTCAATAAAAAGGCTTCTTTACAACGATCAATATCTACTTGTATAATCCTTCGTTTTGCTATTAATAATTAACAAACAGAAAGCTGATGGAGGATATCACCATGTCAGATTTACTGCACAGTGATTTTGATGCTAAAAGATTTTTCTAAATGCTATTAAAATCATTCAGTTTGATAATATTGATAATTAAATCTTCTGATTCGATCCACTCGTTATGGCAAATCAATGGTTTTTTTTCAGTTAAGCTACTTTACTTGATAGAGGAGGGTTGATTGATTAATTGATAATAAATATTCGAGCTTAATTAAATAAACAAAAACGACTTTTACCTGAGCAATGAATGCTTGAAAATGCAAAACAATTTGATGATTTTCTTTTCAGCAGTACTTTCTTCCAATTACTTCGTTTTGAAACTTATCAAAATATTGGTTCATTTTTGGACATTATACCAGCTTATTCGCAGTATCTCACTGGAAGAATATTGTCGAAAGCGAACGCTTATTGTTATATTTCTGTAAATTATCACAA